CGAGGCAGACCTCTCCTGTCTCATCCGCTGCTCCCCTCAGCAGTGTATTTCAGTCTGCCTGTTGTGTTCCCCACTCTGTCTCTGGTGAATCTTCTCACTCCCCAACACCTCTGGCCTGTACCCCAGCTCTCGTATGCATAAAAAAAATAAATCTTAAAAAAAAAACTCCTATTATGGGCAACACCAAGTGCTGACTGCAGCAACAGGACCCCTCACTGCTGGCAGGATAGGATGACCCAAGGGAGGCACACACAAGGGAGGATCTGGCATTTCTTTTATTTTTTTTTAATTTATTTATTTGTTTGTTTGTTTTTTTGTTCATACATGCACTGGGTACAGTCAGAAGTGCGGGAGGGTGAGAGAATTCACCAGAGCCAGAGCGGGGAGCAGAGCAGGCAGAAGGACCGAAGTACACTGCTGAGGGGAGCAGCGGGCGGCAGGAGAGGTCTGTGCGCCATGTGGGACCCGCCTCCGGTGGCAGGGGAGCAGCCGGGGATCGAACCGGTGCTGCTGACATTTCTTTTAAAGCCAAACACAGAACAGCCATACAGTCCAGCGAGCACTGTCCCTGTTATTTACCCAACTCATCTGAAAACTTGTATTTACAAAACAAAAAATAAAGAAAACTAAACCAAAAACCCTGCATGGAAGTAAATGTTTATGGCAGAATCCCCACTAAGTGTGAGCTGCCCATTATGACTTCCTTCCAAAGACAACAGTAACTACAGAAAGGAAAATAAAAGTGGATATTTGTACACTTAATGTGTTGATGGAGAATGGCCTCAAATGGAGGGCATTGTGCCTGAGCAGCTCTGCTCACAGTGTCATCAGAAGAGGAAAGTTTGAGAAACTGTCAGCCAGAGCAACTAAAGAATTGTGGATGGAACTTCATGTGGTGTCCTGGGTGGGATGTCAGAGCAAGAAAATAACATTAGGAAAATTGATGAAATCCAAATACAGTGCAGAGTTTAGTGAAAGTGCACCCATATTGCTTCCTTAGATGCTCAAATGCACTGTGGTCATGTGAGATGCTAACAATTTAGAAATGATGTGGGTTGTATAGGAACTCCACTACCTTTGCATGTTTCTGTAAATTTAACAGTATTTTTTAAAATATTATTTGACAACCCAAATGCCAAAAAATAGATGATTGATTCAAGAAGATGTGGTATATATATACACAATGGAATTTAATGAGCAATCTAAAAAGACAAACCCATGCCATTTGCAGCATTGTGGATGGAGCTAGAAGGGATTATGCTCAGTGAAATAAGTTAGAAGGAAAAAGAAAAATATCAGATGGTTTCACTTATAGCAGGAATACAGGGGAACCAAATAAGACATCAGTGTACAAAAATAATAACAGTACAAAACACAACAAATAACAGTACGAAACACAACAAAGCAAAAACGGACAATTTTAAATGAGAGACATCCTGCAGGGGAGGAGGAAGGAGAGGGATCAGAGGGAGGGAGGGAGGAGCACAGGGGACTGTGGTGATGGTGCACGGGTGCATTGGTGAAGGAACTTCTATGGGGACTATACCTGAGAGGGTGGGGGAAGCAAATATTGTTTCAAAATGAACAATGATGTAAAAAAAAATTAAATAAATAAATAAATGAAATGTTGCTTCTAGGGAGGAAAGTGCCTCTTATTGAGCATCAGCCCCAAATTCTTCATTCCTAGTGTGAGGGGAGGGGCCAAATAACAGACTCTCAGGCTCTGTTCTAGACCTTCTGAGTCTTCATGCATGTCCAGGTGACTCCTGTGCTCACTGAAGTGGGGGCTCCCTGGGCTCCGTGTCTTCTCCATGTAGGGTCAGACTGTGCAGTCGGCTCGGGGGTGGGGGGGGGCGTCGTCTCTGATTGCTCATCACTGTGGAATCTGGGGTTCAATTCTGCTCCTTTCTCTTGCTTAGTCATCACTTTCTGGGTGACCTTTACATGCTCAAGACTTCAAATATCATTTACATCACATCACCTCCCAGATCTGTTTCTTACCTCAGACATTTCACCTGTGCCCCAGACTTGTCTGTCCAGCTGCCAACATCACTTTCAATTCTAATAGATCTGATTCAACTTTTCTAAATTGAGTGCCTGGGATGCCCACATATGGGTCTTCTGGGGTCTTCCCCATGTCACTGAGGCTCCACCTCTCTACCTGCACAGTCTGAGACACTGAGTATCATCCTTGACCCCTTTCTCATAGCCCAGCAGCAGGAAACACTGTAAAGTCCATGTCTAAAGATGCACTGTCCTATAACTTTGTATTATTTCCTTACTCACCCCACATTGAGCCACCAACCTCTCTGTCCTGGACCTACAATGGTTTCCTCCATTTCTCTTCCCACCTCTCACCCTTCCATGCTGCACAGCAGCCAGACTGAGGTTACCAGAGAGATGTCCCAAAGGTGTATGTCTGTTCAGGTCTTGTCACCCCACATCTTACTCACAGAATCAAACCCTCCCAACATCCTCAGGCCTGCATGACCTGGGTACACACAGATCCCATCTCCATTGACCTCTGCTCCAGTCCTTGGCCTCCTTGCTCATGTCAGTCACACAGACACATTCCTGCTCGGGCATCTGCCCTGGAGGTTGTCCTGCCTGGATTGAACTTCCCTGCAAATCACATCCTTGTGGGCAACGTGTCCATCAGACTTTTTCTCAAAGGTCATTTCAGTGAGACCCACACTGACCACGCTGGGAAGAAAACCATCCTGTCACCTTTCCACACCCCTTACCCACTTCTAACCAGACACGCATGGTTTACTGTCTGATCTACTGTCACACAGTCCCCATCCTCCCCTCCCCACTAGGACACACTCTCCACAGACCGCAAGTTGTGCATGTTTTCAGTTCATGGAGGTTTCCTACAAATAACAGTACGAAACACAACAAAGCATAAAGTCAGTCACACATCTGGTGCAAGTTATCAGTTGTGTCATCAGTGTAGAGCACCTCCCTGTTCTAGAGACAGTGTCTTAACTAATGTGGCACATTACACAGGTGTAGATCTTTTGAAATGGTGTTCCTACATTTTTATTTATGATTAATTTTTGTGAACAAGAACTGGAGTGTAGGTCAGAAGTGTGTTGGTGGAGTTGGTGAGAGGATTCACCAAAGACAGAGTGGGGAGCAGAACATGTGGACTTACTGAAACACGCTGCCAAGGAGAGCAGCAGGCCAAACAGGAAAGGTCTGCTTCTCCATATGTGGGTTAGCTCCCCAGTGGGGGGTTGAACTCAGGGTACAGAGGTGACAGTACTGAGACTTAACTCCTGGGCCAACAGGGAGGCCCAGGTACCTAGGCTTATGGGTCCTATTTTTCAGCCAACTATGAAGGGAACTGACTCCGTCAACCCATGGGTCTTGATTGGCACCAGCACTGGGGTTACTACATTTAAGGGCAGGGTTACAGGGAGAAGCTATAGAGAAAAACAGAAATCAATCAGGAACTTACCTAAATCCATCAGGAAATTATCAAATTCTCCTCTCTAATAATACCAGGATTTTGTTAGAAAAGGTGGAAAGAACAATCCAGAAAAAAAGTCCTAAATGAGGCCAAAAATCAGATGAGTCTGGAAATTCATCTCACCAGACTCCTGTGTGCAGGGGACACCCTGGGCCTTGTGGGGACAATGACAGATGCTCCTGCTGCTATAGACACAGGAACCAAGAGGACATGAGGCCTGGTCTCAAAACATAAGGAGAACAGGCATAAAGAAAAACAACAGGGCCTCCCCTGGTGGCACAGCGGTTGAACGCTGAGCTGTGAAGCTGCCTGCAGCCTCTGCAGCGCCGGTTCAATCCCCGGCCGCTGGGCAAGGGTCCCACATGGCACGCAGACCTCTCCTGCCATCCACTGCTCCCCTCAGCAGTGTATTTCGTCAGTCTGCCTGTTCTGTTCCCGACTCTGGCTCTGGTGACTCCTCTCACCCTCCCACGCTTCTGGCTGTACCCAGTGCTTGTATAAATAAATAAATAAATCTTTAAAAAAAAAAAAAGAAAAGAAAACCCTGAAGAAGCAAAGTAGGAATCCACAGAAAGGCTAGACCTTGAGCTGAGCCTGGGCTGACCTGGACACACAAGCACTCCCTGCCCAGACATGACACTACAAGGCCAGGTGAAGTCTGAGTCCCTGTGATCACAGGTCCTGCTGGGACAGGTGCTCCTGAAGGACAAGGACAAAGGAGCAGAGAGATGACCCCTGAGGAGTGACCATGTCAAAGCCCACGACACACTGAGCACTGACTGGACACAGGCCCTGTCCCCCTCAGCCCCTCACAGTCTCTCCTGCCCCCATCTGCACAGACTCAGCACAGCAAACACGTGATTCTGGAAAGTTTCCCATTTATTTCTTTTCTTTTTCTTTCATTTATTTCATATCAAATTTTAGGAATCATTTTCATTAGCCAACCAAATCTATCCATCAAGCTTACAAACAGTAATTTCAGAATCAATTATTATTTCAAGAGGAATGTAGTTACTATTCTTTTTTTTTTAAGTATTTTTTTCTCTTTTTTTTTTAAGATTTATTTATTTATTTACACAAGAACCAAGGTATAGGCCAGATGCACAGGAGGGCAAGAGGACTGACGAAATACACTACTGAGGGAGCAGTGGGCTCAACAGGAGAGGTCTACTGCACCATGTGGGACCCTTGCTGGCTGACAGGGATAGAACCGGCACTGCAGAGGCTGCAGAGAGCTTCACAGCGCAGCGCTCAACCATCTGCGCCACCTGAGAAGTCCCGTAGTTACTATTCTTGAGGAAAACACAAAGACAGGGGTAGACACAGATGAAGCCATTCTTGCTGGAACAGGAAAGTCATCGAGGAGAAACACAAGTCAGTGTGGGGAGGGCCCTGGTGGGCAGGGCTGGGCCAGTCTCCCCACCTCCTCACATTATCTCATAAGAACAGAGACACATTTGAATGCCTTTTACAGCAAAGGAAACCAGAGGATCTTGAAGTTACAAAGTGGGAGTGAGAAGAAATCCTGCATCACTCAGCTCCCACAGGCAGCTGGCTCACACTGTGAAGGAAAAAATGATCATAAAATAATTCAAAGAAACACGTAAGTGTCGACATTCTCCACAGTCCACCGCATCCTCAGAATGTCCCCCTCACAGCTTCCCCATAACCAGGCCCCATCCTCTCTGCCCCAGCCCCTACCACCGTAGGCCTCCAGGGCCTCACCTTTAGCTGCTGTGAGGCACATCAGAGCCCAGGGCACTGTCACTCCCTGGGGGAGAACAAAATAGAACCCTGTCAGAGCCACAGAGAGATGAGACCACAGGAGGGACTGATGTGGGTGACTCCCCCATGGGCTCCGCCTACACTGTCCCCAGGGGCTCAGGGACGAAACCCCTGATCCACACTTACTTGCAGCCTGAGCGTAGCTTATTCTTTGTCCTCCTGAGGGAAGAAGCGTTGTGTGAGACCAGGGAGGAGTCAGCCCATGATGTTTCCAGAACTGTGACTGGACACTTAGGGCAAGACCAGGATATATGAAGAAAGGAGATGAGAGGGGACTGAACCAAGTGCCTCCTGGGTCTACCCTCAGCAGGGACCTTCCCCTCTGCCATTTGCCTAAATCAGGAACCCAGCACCAGAATTATCAAGGTGAACAATGTGACTCATTTTCAAAAATGCTTTACAGAAGAGGGTTAGCAATCAGCTTCAGACTGGGCAACACATGTGTGTGGGTGGTACTTCCCATTACCGGGTAGGGCAAGTTCTCCCTGTGGCCCGAAAGCCCCCAGTAGACATGATCCCCCACTCCCTTCCCTACCTGAGCGCTTCTTCCTCCACATCACAGCTGCAGCCACTGCAGCTCCAGTGAGCACAGCTCCAAGGAGAACCAGGCCAGCAATGATGCCCCCGATGGGGTTGGTGGAGTCGGTAGGGACAGTTGGCTGAGGAGGGGGCACTGGAATGGAAGAGAAGATGAGACCCTGAGCCCCAGGCCTCCATCTGATCCTCTGAAGGTCTCCAGAAGGGCTCCTGATGCCCCTGAGAAGCTCTGTGTCCATGTTCCCTCCTTACCCCATCTCAGGACTTGGGGCTCCAGCAACCCCTCATGCTGCACATGGCACGTGTATCTCTGCTCCTCTCCAGAAGGAACCACCACAGCCGCCCACTTCTGGAAGGTTCCATCTCCCCCAGGCCTGGTCTCCACCAGCTCCATCTCCTGGGTCAGGTCCTCCCCATCTCGCTGCCAGGTCAGGGTGATGTCCGCAGGGTAGAAGCCCAGGGCCCAGCACCTCAGGGTGACCTCATGCTCAGAGGTGGGGTGGTGGGTCATGAGTGTCCTTGGGGCATCTGAGGAGAAGAGTGAGAACTTTTACACTTTGGGTTATTCTCTCATGGACCCTGAAAAACCCTCATGTGCCATTCTCAGAAGGAGGAAGCACAAAATCTAGAAACCAGACTGGTCTTGGAGTTTGGGATAATAACTTATTCCTTAGAAAGTTCTAGAATTAGGATGACAACTGGATACAAGGACGCAGCTCTCTAAGGAGGAGAGCTCAGGCTTTTGCTCCTGACCCGGGGACTCAGAAAAGCAGGAAAATGTCATCTATCCAATAGCAAAACTCTGAGGGAAAACTGATGGTTCCCAAGAGGGCTGCTGGGTCAAAAGGATCGGTGAAGGGGGATTTAGGGCTGGTCTCCCCTCAGGCTCAGGAGACACTGGATTCCTTAACTGTGCTGAGGAAAAATGGGATCCTCTGGGGAGTCAGGAAACCCAGGGGGCTCCTCCTCCCCTGACCAGAGAGAGGGCGCTGCTGTGACCCTGACTCCACCCTCCCCGAGAGACGTGGCCTGAGGGAGGTGGGGAGACCTCGCTGTGCTCTTACCTGTGCGCTGCAGCGTCTCCTTCCGGTTCTCCAGGTGTCTGCGCAGCGACTCCACGCACGTGTCCTCCAGGTAGTCCTTGAAGCGCTCCACCGCTCCGGCTGCCTCCAACTTCTGCCGGGTGATCAGAGCCTCCAAGTCCGCCGCGGTCCAGGAGCGCAGGTCCTCGTCCAGGGAGATGTAATTGGCGCCGTCGTAGGCGGACTGACTGTACCCGCGGAGGAAGTGCCCGTCGGGCCCCACGTCGCAGCCGCACATATTCTGGAAGGTGTGAGAACCTGTCCCCGCCCGCGTCACCCCGCGGTCACCCCGCCCGCGCCCCCACCCCCGGAAACCTCGGGGTGACAGTCCCGCGGGCTCGTCCCGGGTCGAGGGTCCCGCGGGTCCCCCTGCCTCGGGGGACGCTCGGGCCGGGATCTGGGGTTCCCGCCCGCCCGCCCGCCCGCGGGGTGGGGTTGTGAGCGCCCCGGGCCGCCCCGCTCACGGGCCTGGCTGTGGTTGTAGTAGCAGACCGCGCTGCCCAGGTTCAGGCGGAACGTCTGCGCGGTGCCCTTGGCGCTCCGCGTCTCCAGCTCCCAGCACTCCGGCCCCTCCCGCCCCGCCCAGGGCGCCCGCGGCTCCATCCTCAGGCTCGCCGCGTCGCTGTCAAACCGCTCGATCTGCGTGTCGTCCACGTAGCCCACGACCACTACGTGGGGCTCCCCGAGGCCGGGCGGGGACATCATGGTGGAGAAATACCTCAGGGAGTGGGAGCCTGGGGGCGGGAGGGGAGACCCGGGCTGGGGAGACGGGGCGGGAGGGGAGGGGGTGAGGGGGCTCCTGAGATTGAAATGGGGCAGCGGAGGAGAAGGCTGGAGAGTCAGAGGGACCAGAGGAGGAGGGAGGCGGGGAGGGACAGAAAGGGGTCAAGACAATGTGGGGGCCAAGGGGGACAACAGGGTCAGTGATGGGGGAGACAGGCCTTTCCCAGGTCCTGAGCCCCCGCCAGGGTTCCTCAGTTCCCCCCTCCTCATTGGCCTTTTCCCTCCCAAGCCAGCACTTACCTGCCCAGGTCTCCATCAGGACCAGGGCCAGTGAAAGCAGCAGCAGGAGAGTTGGGGGCATCACCTGTGCCCTAGAGGAAGCTGAGCATTTGAATTTTGGCGGGTCCGTGGGGACTTTCTAACTTGGAGCCAGAGTGATGCTGATTGGCTGCTCTGGAGACCTGTAGGCAATGGAGAGTGAGAACTGCGGTGAGTCACCCTATGCAGAAAGGAGTCCCCTACACAGGCTGTGAGAGAAATAAGTGACGCTTTGGGGAGATGGGGAATCCCCAACAGTAACCCTCCCTAACCCAGATACAGCCCTGGATGCTGAGACCCTGAGAACCACACCTGGCACCTGGGACATCACCAGGCCCTCCTCTCCTGCTCCAAGGCCTTTGTCACACTGTTGCCTCCTGGAGTCCAGGCCCGGAACTGGGACAGCGGTTTTCAAATGTTTTTGTTTCAGGATCTCTGCACACTTTTACAAATTAGTGAGGACCCCAGTATAATTTTAGGAGGTTATAGCTCTCAGTATTTACTACATGAGGAATGAAAACAACTTAAAGATGTTTTTGTTTTATTTAGAATAATATTAATAACCCAATGTGTGTTCAAAGTGTCTTAAAAAATATAGATAGTTAATGAAAATAATCTGGGTCATGAATGGATCTTTTACAGCTCACATTTTTGCAATTATTTTTCCTTCTCTGTCTCACTAGAGGAATGTTGGATTGTCCTATTTTCTCCCACATTTACTCTTTGCTTTGGTTGGCCAATGGAAAACTATACAGCCTCTCTGAAATATGTGAAAATAGTATTTTAAGTACCTTGCAGATAATTGTGAATATTCAACTTTGTTCCACTTCTACAATAAATTGAAACTATACAAATGGTGGTTTCTCAAATGCTATTTGCAAAGTGAGTGGTAGAACAATATCACTGAATATTTTCTATTATGTTACATTAATTCCATAGTCCTCTATTGATTATTAATTTTGAACTAATACATGATTTAAAAAAGTGATGCATTGTTGGGCCTCCCCTGGTGGCCCAGCTGTTGAGCGCTGGGCTGCAAAGCTGCCTGCAGTCTCTGCAGCACCGGTTCAATCCCTGGCTGCCAGCAAGGGTCCCACATGGGTGCGACAGACCTCTCCTGCCGCGCCCGCTGCTCCCCTCAGCAGTGTATTTCATCAGTCTGCCTGTTCTGTTCCCCGCTCTGGCTCTGGTGAATTCTCTCACCCTCCCGTGCCTCTGACTGTACCCAGCGCTTGTATAAATAAATCTTTAAAAAAAAAAGTGATGCATTGTTTTACCAGGTTATATGAGCCTTATGTTAATTATTCTAGAATCAAATTTTGAAAATCATACATGTTTTATGTTCCAAAGATCCCCAAAGTAAAGTAAATGGCTACTGGAAATTGTTAAGTTGATAGTGATGGGAAACAATTTTTCACTATCTGGTTTTCACTTGGAGCTTGTACTTTATCAAGGCAATTAATTATTATCATTTGTCAACTTTCTGTTGATTTTCTTAAAGGGACAGCTCACATTCACTGCAGCTGCTCCAGGTCCAGCCTGTGCCCAGCCTGGACCCCCCCTGCACCCAATACCCAGGACCCACACCACTGTCTCCTTGGAGTTACTCATCCCCTGTCACCTCCTGCTCACTCTGGGGCTCAGGTCACCTGTCACCTACTCAGAGAGGAGGCCCAGCGGCTCCCAGGTCAGGGGCCCCTTGCTCTGTGCTCCCTGGGCCTGTCTCCAGCTGGACCCTGAGTTACAGACACACAGAGTCCCAGGATGGCTCACTGCTCACTCTGTGCCCCAGTGCTTGGAGGGTGGCACCCCAATATATATCATTTGAATTAAGAAATTAATACAGTTATGCAAAAAGCAGCTCAAGAGGACTCTTGTTTCTGGTAATGGCGGGTTAGGACTTTCACACCAACCAACATACTGAAAACAACCATGTATTTTGTTGGGGTTTGCCCTGCTTATGCACACAGAGATTTCAGACATTTCAAGTGCTATAATATGAAAAAGTATCCTTATTCTGTTTGAATTGGTCATTCTGTAGAAGTTTTGGGGCCCAGCCTCTGTCATCACCTCCCCTCTCTCCCCACGCATCTCCCTTCACCATAAGAGCAACATCAGGAGGAATTTTTAAATTCAACTTAATAACATATGGCTGCCTGGGCAGGTAGTGGGCGCCCATCACTAAGAGGACCCAACCCTCACCCTGGATGTTGTCCAGTGGATAGTGATGATGAGAAAATGAGAAACAATAATTTCACCCCCTCTAATGTTACACCTTCCTCCAGGAGCTGAGGTAGCCCCTGCTCCATCTCTCCCTCCCTTCCTGGACTGTAGACAAAGGCTCAGCTCAGGAACTGGTGTGACCTGGGCTAATCCTGCCCCTGGGCCAGGCCAGCAGGACACACACTCCTCCCTCCCCCTGTGGGACTCCCTCCAGCTCTGGTCTAGAGAGAAAGTAGCTGCAGCCCACAGAGGCAGTGACCCCTGGGAAACAGAGGGGCTGCCAGGCTGGAGCTCTCTGACTCTGAGGATGTGGGTTTTCTATAGTGACCCCAAAGGCGATGAGCTTGAAGTGAACATTGGGAACTATGGGAGGGAGATGTCAGGGGTGGGGGTGCTACCACAACCTAGCAGTAGGCCTTGAGAGGGGTCCCACCCAAGGTCCTTCCATTCTAACCATTCTAAGAACAGTAATAAAGTAATAAACTTGCTCCTTTTCTCCAGTCCTGCATTTTCAAGTCCTGCTCAAAAACTGTTTCTTCATTGAACTGTACCTATCGGGGTGTTGTACTGACATTTTGTTCTTTGTGGGATTTGAATTCATTTATGCTGGGCTTCATGTGTAATTGTTCTCCCATTGTCTATGTTGTGTGCCCTGTCTCCACACACACACACACACACACACACACACACACACACACTCCCCTCTCCTTGGGAACCAGACCCTCACTCTGCACTGGGGTTACTCTGACCCTCTGTCTCTGGTCCCCTCAGAGCCGCCCTCTCTGCAGTGTCTCTACTCAGCAGTGTCTGAGCAGCCCCAGGAGTTCTTGCACCTCCTGCCTATGACCTTGTGGGAAACCAGCCCCTCAGCTGCATGACAATGAGGAGGCAAAAGCAAAGGCCTGAGGTCAGTGATGGATGGAGGAGACAAATTACTATCTTGCATTTTTCCCCCTCATTACTGTATTATTTCTACTGAGGCAACATCAGTTTACACACTGTATGTGTTCAGAGGCACAGGGTCACCCTCTTCAGATGTTTGTTCCCACATCACACCCACCTGAGGGCACCACAGTCCTCCATCACAGTCCATGAGGCCCTCTTCCCTCTTTGTGTCCTGCTCTCACCCTCCCTCACCCATAGGGTCAATTCTCAGTCATAGTTCTAGAGTTTGTTTTGGTTTAGTTTCATCTGTCCCTGCTTTGTTTCTGTATTTTCCACATATGAATGAAATCATCGAGTATTTCACTTTCTCCTTCAAGCTTATTTCACTTAGCATCATCCCCTCTACATCTATCCATGTTTTGCAAATTCAAGGCTTTAACTTTTTCACAGCTGAGTAGTATTCCATTGTGTCTATCTACCACCTCTTCTTTGTCCACTCATCTGTGGTTGGGCACTTAGGTTGTTTCCACAGTTGATTATTGGGCACAGTGCTGCAGTGAACATAGCAGGCACATATCCTTTGGAATTAGTGTTTTTACCTCCTTTGGATAAATACCAAGGAATGGCATGCTTGACCCTGTGGAAGGTGTATTTTGAATATTTTGAGGAACCTTCATTCTGTTCTCCACAGGGACGGGACTGTAACAGTGTGGTATCCATAGAAAAGGAAGGTTCCAGTTCTCCTGCTCCCCCCCCAGGAAGGGTGGAGCCCACCAGGGATGAGAAGCTAAAGAGGAGGCAGAAGAAACAAGGTGGGGAAAGGAGACCGGAGGAGGCACATGGAGCAGAGGGACTTGTGAAGAAGAAACCACACTTACTTCTGAGCTTTAACTGGTGTGAGGGACCTGGGGGACATTGAAAGAGACAAAGACATGGGTGAGAGACCCAGGGGAGGCTGACAATGGCAGCCTTTATCTTGATGTGGATTTTCATTTTGCTCTTGTCTTTCCAGACTTGCCTGGCCCCTCCTGCCCCTTTCCTGGGAGTCTCCACCAGAGGTGCCTTAGACTGTGGCAGGCTTTTGGGCCTCAGCAGCCCTGCTTTGGGCCAACCTTGGTTGGCTGGGCATTAGCCATGAGGGGACGGGTAACTTTGGGTGTTTCGTTTAGAAACTATTTTAACTATCTTTTTTCTCTTCTCTTTCTTACACTAATTCTCACACTAATTAGACACTAATTCTCTATTGCACATGAATTACATTATCATTCTTTTCTATAATATGTTTTTGACTTTATGTAACTGATGACAGTACCCACTTAGATTGATCAGGCATGAGGATATGGGGAACCCCTCGTTCTGCCCGCTAACAGGAGCAGTCTCCATCCCCACCCACCATGTACCAGAGTTCCCTTTCCTCCTCACCCTACAATGGGTCATTGTGGTTTTAATTGGCATTTTCCTGACAGCACATGATGACAAACATGTATCCATGTACATATTGGCCACATGTGTGTCTTCTTTAAAGCAGTGCCTATTTAGCTCTTGCTTTGACTGGGATGTCTGTTTTCTTGTTTTGGAGTCATTTGTAGATCTTGGCTATTAACCCCTTATTGGACTTAGGATGTACAAATATTTTCTCCCACCTATAACTGTCTTTTGATTTTTATGATAGTTTCCTTGTAGAAGCTTTTTAGTCTGATGTGATTCCATTGGTGATTTCCTTGGAGCACAGAAGACATTATGAGCAGTGAAAATACTCTGCATGATATTCTCATGATGGACACAGGTCATTATGCATTTGTCCAACACCCCAAGAATGGACAACACCAGAGTGAACAAAAGGGAAACCACGGACTCTGAGAGGGGATGACACGTGGGCCCCTCACTTGTAACACACATGCCCCGTGGTTTGGATGTGACATGTGAAGTGTTTTATAAGTTGAGGAATTTAGCATAATTTAATTTTGAAAACATTATTTCTAGTGCAT